ATATTACATTATCATAATCCTGACGGAAACTTGAATATTGTCAGGGTTATTTTCCATCGTATCAGCATTGACCATCAATAGAGCCACATGATTTTACCAGTTGCTTTATTAATGAACTACAATATAACACCTGCACATAGCTATAGTGAAGATAGGGCCATATCATTTAACTTCCTGTTACAGTATGACGCAGTATGCACACAGATATGACGAACTTCATTATAACACAGTATTTACACAGATATAGTAAAGATAGTCAAATTATTTTACTTCCTGTTTCATTATAACACAGTATGCACACAAATATAATGGAGATAATAGAGCAATATAATTTTACTTCCTGTTTCAGTATAACACTGTGCACAGATTTGATGAACTACATTATAATAATATGTACACGTATATTGTGAGGATACAGCCATATAATACAACCAGTTACAGTATAACACAGTATGCACACAAATAAGGTGAAGTAGTCTAACACAGTATTCACACAGATATAATGAAAATAGAGCCATTTGATTTTATTGCCTGCTAGTGCACACAGTATGTGCACAGATTTAATGAACTAAAGTATAACATTATGTACCCAGATATAATGAAGATAGAGCCATATTAGTTTACTTCCTGCTAGTGTAACCCAGTATGCACAGATTTATTGAACTACAGTATAAAACAATATGCACACAAATATAGTGAAGATAGAGCTGTATCATGTTACTTCTTACTATAGTATAACACAGTATGCACACACAAATGATGAACTACATTTTAACACAGTATGCACACAAATATGATGAACTACATTTTAACACAGTATGCACACAAATATGATGAACTACATTTTTACACAGTATGCACACAAATATGATGAACTACATTTTAACACAGTATGAACACAAATATGATGAACTACATTTTAACACAGTATGAACACAAATATAATGAACTACATTTTAACACAGTATGCACACATAAAGTGAAGATAGAGCCATATCATTTACTTCCAACTCTTGTATATAAGCATAGTATGCATACAGATATAATGAATTACAGTTGGATATGAAGTTGATTAATGTATCTAATAAAGTTATATATATATATATATATATATATATATATATATATATATATATATATATATATATATATATATATATATATATATATGGAAAAAGGAAGTATGGTATAGTGCAGTAATTATTGGTTCCGAAAAGAAATGTAATAAATGTTTACTGTGCATGTTTACATTAGATTTCTGCAGTGTATGACAGTTGTATGTCTTTAGCTTGCCAGTACAAAATATGGGAGAGTTTTGTTATACTCTGTTGTAGGCAACAGTGACATTGTCCATAGTTGGGTTAAATGTATAAATGCTTTGTTGCCACTGCTACCAGCTCTATGCATAGATTTTTCATGGAACTTAGCGTGCTCATTCTTAACCAGCCCACAAGAAACTAAGTTACAGTTGCCACTTTAAAAAGTAACAAATAACTTGTTCAAAGGTCAACCATGTGTTCTAGTTTTCTCGACTAATCCAAGTATGTTTGTGGAACATGGTCAGGGTGTTAATGAACCACCCTAGGGAATAATGGTCTACTTTTTTGTCTGTCTTATTATTGCTTACAGGCTTTCACTTGTGTAAAAGTTTTGTGGTACTCACAAATTACCAATAAATATTAGATGTCTTTTTGGCAGTTAATATTCCACTTAGTTAAAAAAATTTCTTCATTTTTTTCTTGTGAGAAACATATTTCTCTTTTGAATTAATTCCTGATCACATTAATATTCGGAAGATACACTATAAGCTTTTGAATTCAGTAATAGTGGAAAGATAAGAAATTAGTTTTTCCCATCTGTATTACACACAAAGGGAAGAAATTCTTCCCAACTCTCTTCCCTTCCCACTGCCGGATGGCTACATTTATCTACTAGTTTTAAGCTTTCACTTGAATTAGATACATCATTTTCAACACCTCTCCAGGAATCTTGGTCAATCTTTTTTTTTATTTTTACACCATCCTTTGACAGATTTAGCAAAATAGTGAGTGTGAAGGTATGTACCTCAAGGGTACTGCTTTTTTTGTATGGGAAAATATAAATGAGTGGGGTATAATATTGTATGACTTTTGGGAGTGAAGTATTATTCTAAAAAATTGAGTTCAAATTTTCCCATATTATTGCAGTAATGTTTTTATTATATACTCATTTTATTATACAGCTTAATCATAAAAATATACTATAAGAAACAAAGTAATTGAATTTATGCTGTATTGAGAAATAAATACACAACCGTTGATTCATCAATACACAGTAACAATATTAATGCACACACAGCACTGCACAGCAACCTTTGAACTTTGTTGCATGTTTGATAGTACTTTCCAAAAAAGAATTATTGTTTTGGAATTGAAATTTAGAGTCATATTGAGAATGAATGCACCTAGCAACAACTTTTCTATTTGGTTTGGAATGGATGGATTTTGTTTTTATGTTGATTCAACTCAATTCTGCTTTTCTGATTATGATGGACTGGATTATTGGGCCAATTCAGTGCTGATTTTAGCTGAAAATGTATTCAAAATTCTGGTACAGTTTCTGTGTGTATCAGGTTTTGTAGAATGTCATTCAGATTTGAAGAACTAAAAAAAGTACATTTTGAGGAAATTCAAAATACATGAATGCAAATATATTTGTTACCATTTATATTATTAACAAAAGAAAATGGTACTAACAGCTGCCCCACTTGACACTCAGCATTAAGAGGTTAGTGTTAGGAATGGTTGGCCTGGTATCAGGATAATGTTACTGGATGGGACATCATGCCACATGTCTCCGGTATGATGCCCCAGTGCTTTACATCACTATAAACTGTCACACTGCAGACATCATAGCGATATGACTGAAAAAATTTTAAAGCTGTGTTAAAAATCTAATGAATGAACGTGATATTCACAATGTCAACAACAAACATGAGACACATAGTAATTGAAAATACCATTCTGCTCATTGAAACATTTATGACAGACTATGAAAAGTGCTCTCTAGGGCCTATACAAATATTGCATAAAAAAGCATTTCCTCTTCCTCGTATGTATTTTCCTAATGTTAATGTGTTTGGGAATGTATTCAAGGGAGAGAGCAATTTTTTTAGTAAATTTGATTTTGCCAAGGACATGTACCTGATCACATTACTTTTTGCTTCCCCTTTCCAGTCTATCTGCAGATGTGAATCATTGAGTTTTTGCTCAAGCAAAACTGGTAAACAACCATAGCCACCTAGAGGTGGCAATGGGAGGTATGAGGAAGGGTTAATTTCCTTGACTTTATCGAATGTAGACAGATGAGAGAAATCTTTCATATATACATGACTGCTGAATTTAAGAGGTAATAGAGCATCTTATTAATGTTACTGTGATCAAAAATAAAAATAATTTACTCAAGCATGTGTTTTTTCTATTCCAACTAAGTATTTAAATGCTGGTATATGCTGACTTTATGCAATTTTTGCTTGTGTGAATTTTTAATTAACATGATTTGATATGAATTTGTTGTTAATTTAATTTTTATAGTGAAGGCTACAAATTAATGATGTTATTTGTGCTAAACAAGAAACTTTGGATTCATAACAGAGCAGTGCATATTTTTCCTATCAGTAACTCAGTCAATTTTTGCAGGTAAGCATCATTAAGTATAGTTCATGATACCTGATTCATTTTAAATACTTTGTGTGAAATGAATTAGGTACTTTTAGTTACATTTAATGATGCTGACCTTAAATTTACTTAGTTACAGATAAGAAAAATATGATGCTGTTAGGAATGAAGTATAATATTATTTTAATTACATGTAGTTGTAATGTTAAAAGTTAAAGATCTTTTATAAGGAAGATTAGAGAAATTTCAGTGTTTCAGGTCATCTGTTTTTGAAGTTGCATAATTGATACTAATTCTCCAAAATTTTCAACACTATGTTTGTGTACTAGCCATCATCTGAGGTAGTCGTTTATTTCAGATAACTATTGGGGTGATGAAAAATACCAGGTTTACCCAGTTGTTTGCTTAATTAACTTGCAAAGACATTGACATCATTAGTGGGCTGTATTTTCAATGATGAATTTATAGCAAAAAGAAGTCAATGTTTGAAGGAAAAATCTTGCAAAAATCATTGTGTTTAATTAAAAAAAAATTAATATGACATGAGAAATATGGAATTATTTAGTAAAATGCTAGTAGGTTTATGTGTTAAGACAAAACTTAAGTGAGAACAAAGTCTCTGGAGTGCAGATTTACTAGTTTAACCCTTTTCTTTTAAAGTAAATTTATCTGAACTTGTTGAACTGTCATTGAGCCAAATTTTAATACATTCAAAAATTCTGTTGCCAACCAGACAGCATCTAATATGTAAAAAAAATTAACGATTATTAAAAATTATTTTGTTATATCATTATTATTATTATTATTATTATTATTATTATTATTATTATTATTATTATTATTATTATTATTATTATTATTACATCAGGTTTCCATAAATATGTTATTGAGAATATTTTTCAAAAATTTTAATATTTTATATCCATTTAATGAACATAAATTCCCATTCCATGGACCACAAACCATGTTCTCTGTCTGTCAGAAAAATCTCTTTCAGGTTAGTCACTCCAATATAAAAGTTTAGTCCTTCTGGCAAGTCTCCAGCTGTAGGCATGGTGTCCTAATGAAAATGTGTGTTCCTGGCATCAGTCTGAACCACTGCAGGGGAATGCTGATCAAAGTGATTCTATTTTCACAAACTTATGTACTGGTTACCCCCAGTATACAAATTTTATCTTTCAGGCAGATCTCCAGATTTAGGCATGCAGTGTTCATGGAACTTGGTGCTATTTTGTATTATTTAAATGTAAATATTTGTCACACTGACCTACTTTTCCTATGCTTATGACTTTGTTATTTACCGGTTAACCCTTGAGTTAATTTTGTTCTTCCAGGGATGAAACTGTGGTAGCTCAGTTGGTAGAGTGTTAAACTCATAATTCAAGGGCTGTGGGTTCAATTCTTGCCAAGGCTAGCCCATATTGTAACATCAGTGTATCAATGAGAAAAACACTTAGCTTCCATTTCTCTAGTAATATTGCTAACTTTTGGAGTGCTGTAGTTATAGGCAATAGTCCAGATATTCCTTACATCATAGATAAAACACCACAAATAAAATACATACTTACATACTTTTTCAAATTAGTGATGATGTTATTGTGCATTTCCCTAAGAGAGAAAGTAAGTCATGTTGACCTTTTTTACACTAATTTCCGACAGATTATACCAGGTGCTAGAAAAACACAAGTGTACCATATGTACTCATTTGTAAGATGTATTCAACTGCTGACTGCACAGACCCTGATCTACTGTTGCATAATTCACTGGCAGATCTGTGCTGTGCTATGTTAGGAGCGATCAGTATAACAAACAACACAGACCCTGATCTGTAGCTGTATTATAATATGGCAAATCAGGATCTTTGTTGTTTGCAGTTTCACTCAGCTTATTAGCGAGTATATGTGGTTATGAAAATGCATCAGTTCATCTGTAATTTGCTCTAAAATAATAACAAGATCTTTTGTGTTTATTTCCGGGACTCTTTGATGCTTAAGTTTCAAACTAGTATTGAATTATGCCATGTGTGAGTTGTATGTGTTCCTGTCCAGTTTGTTTTAAGCTAGTCAAACATATATATATATATATATATATATATATATATATATATATACACACACAATTGGCTTCAAATGATGCATTGTTCAATTTAGAAAACAGGTTCAAATACAAGATATATTTACTTCCCATAAATTATTGCTGAGTATATGAGAATGGAAATACTTAAATGCATTTAATTTCTACTTGTTTATTTTTTATATATTCACCTTTTATCTAGATTGTTACTGCTTTATATTTTCTTTTAAGCTGTCTTAGTTTAATTTGATATATTTATGTAGCATCTAATTTAAATTAAAATGCAATGAACATATATCCACATTTCTTTTAATTCTTTCAGGATGGAGCATGAGCCAGTTTGTCACCCACAGATTGGAGCTTTTCGATTTCAACTGTGCTGGTTGATGTGAACTTTATTAGCATCTCACCTTGCCAAATATTCTTCAGACTTAGCAAGCATGCAGCACAAAATCTCTCCAATTAGAAGAACTTTTGACAGATGTGATTTTGGTTATAATAAAGCTGAAAGCATAAAACTTTTTAAGTCTGTCAGAATTTTTAGTTGATTCTAAATTTTAATCAGACGAATGTTTTTATGACCTACATGTCTAATTTGGTGATGTGAGCTCGAAGTGAAGTTTAATTTTAAAAGCATTTTTAAATTTATGGAGTCTTGATGAAGTACAGATGAGGTTGATTGATACCTTGGGAGTAAAAGTTGAAATATCTAGTTATGGTCTTACATGCTGTCTAAATTAACATTCATAGAACATATAGTAGTCATAATTTTAGATGAATGAACCGTAAAATCTAGGGTATAATATGCATACATGTATAATATGCACCCAGACTTGCAGTGCCATCTTTGACTTGCCCTACAATAAAACTTAAATAAAGTTACATCTAGGTATAATACACACTCCAAGTTAAGAAGAAAAAAAATTCGTTAAAATAATTGCATATTATACCCGAGATTTTACGGTAATAGGAAGTACCATATGATGTCACTTATATGGCAGGTGCAACTGCAAAAGACAAAAAATATATGCCCTGATCTGCCATTGCATGATATGCCAGCAAATCAGGGTCTATGTTAATTTGTTCTGCTGATTAGTCCTAACAAACTGCATAGATCTAGTTCTGCTGGCACATTATGCTTGGCAGATCCAGGTCTGTTCAGTTTCAGTTGAATCCCTAGATTATGAATACATGTTTAGTATATGATATGGATTTTTACTGTCATGATAATCACATTTTTGAAGAAGAAAGGTAACTTTTAATTTTGTTTATATTTTATGGGTTTTAGGATCAAAGTAAATATGTATGAATGTGAAATTTTTCATTTCTATTTTTAAACAGCGAAAATGATGGATAGAATTTTATTGTACTTTTACATGTCTGCATTGTGTAGATAAAAGTGATTCTGTGTGGTTAATGTTGAATATCATTACTTAATCAGATTGTTTTTAAAGTACTTAGGAGTGTAGTGGTTAGCTTCACAGTAAAATGTGGTTATACATATAGCAGGTCCATACATTGTTCATTCTACAAATAGAAAATATGGGACATAATGCCCTTACCCAGTCAGAAATTGAGATCATGTGGGGGGGAAAAAACACAGGTCATATTCTTACCCATTTCAGTTCATTCCGAAAGATGAACACATTTTGTCTTCTACCTACCCTGCTGTGGGTTTTCCATACCAGGAAATATTTTCCTTATGCTTTTACCCTTCTAGAATTTTGTTTTGGAGACTTGTGTTAGTATTTTTTAGCAAACCTGGCTATACAGTATAGTGAGCTTTTGGTATGGCTTTTTGCCTGGCCTGTGGTGCCCAGACAAATTCTCTTTTCTACTTCTTAAAAACCACTGGACCACTTCAGGTGGTGCTCTACAGTTTCGTATTAAGCATAGGGTTAGGGTATTAAGCATAGGGTATGCCAACATTCTCTCCACTATACATGTTTAAAATGCAAACAACTTCACCTTACATACATCACTCTCTCAAAAGTACATAATAACTGGTGAGCGCCACCATAAAGAGTATATAGGTATTATTATTGTATGATTTAATTTTGATTGTATGGCTGAAATATTTAAGTCGCAAGCATCAAAACTGTCCTTTGTAATAATTGTCCTGTATTTCCCTCCTCAGATTTATTAGAGTCAGTCTCAAACAGGTACAGCCCCCCCCTATTAATGATAAAAAGTGAACTATTTTAAAAATGCGCATTGCAACCAGTGTTATGCATGCGCATTGCAACCAGTGTTATGCTGATAGACAGGAACATGAAACTAGCCATATTTATTCCTGAGATGTCAACAATAAATTTTACAGTTAGAAAAGGGATATAACAGGTGAGGTTCATAAAGGTCAAAGGTCAAAGTGTAAAATATTAACTAATTCTTTGATATGGAAGAAAGCAAATTTGCTTTGGTATCATTTATTTTTTAATTTCATTGCAGATAAATGAAAAAAAAAACATTTTCACTGTGTATTTATTTTACTTAATGCAACAGTTTATTCCTATATTCTAAGACTTCTAATTTCTCCATAATGAAGGTCACTACCCACCCAAATATGCCTCATGGCAAATTATGTATGCTAGAGCAAAAATAAGCATAATTAGCTTATTTTCATAAATAAAATCAATGTTAATGTACCATTTTACTCAGAACATCATGCATAATAATATGAAAATAAGAAAAATAATTGCATAAATGTTTATATTTGTTTTTAAGGTGGCGCTCTACAGTTTCGTATTAAGCATAGGGTTAGAATTTTAAAGAAAAAGAATTTCCCCGGGTTTCCTCACTAGTTATACTGGCTATTTAAAAGAGACTTTGTATATCTTAGGTATTGTTCAAAGAATCTTTAATTTCTTTTATTTTGATGTATGATTGATGGGTGTAATATGGGTTAGAGAGAATACAGCTTGGCCTTACTCCAGATGTGCATCTTTCAAAAAAGTGCTAGCTCTACTTGCTCATTTTCACTTCTTGAACTTTAGAGGTAAATTATAAAAAATAGAGCCGATAACTTTTTTTACATTTTATGTATTTGGTAATTCATTTATTACACTTTTAGAAGCTGGTATTGTCTAGTTTGGCAAAATTCATTTTCCCTATTTTAATAGCTGCCAAAAATAGTGTACTTGAGACAAATTCAGGTTGATTTTTGGAGCACAAGGGAGCAGTCATTTTAGTTAGCAATGTCTTAAGATCATTTAAAATTTCCAAAAGTACAATATCCAAAGAAATTTCATCCACATTACATGAAAGTAGTATATAGGTATGCCAACATTCTCTCCACTATGCATGTTTAAAATGCAAACAACTTCACCTTACATACATCACTCTCTCAAAAGTACATGATAACTGGTGAGCTCCACCTCAATGAACTTGCTTGGAATATTCCTCAGGTCATGTATCAAAATTGTGTTCACAGTGGCTAACTTATAAATGGTATGGTTCCCATAGTAACCAAAGTAGAAAATTGATTTTCTACATCTTGTCCAGAAGAGACCAGCCAATTCTGACCAGACTTGGTAAAAACATTTCTTATAACATGCTGTCAAAAAAAATTTTCTGGATGGCTCCCTTGTAATAATGCAACTTTTAGTAACAGGCATTCTTCTCAACAATGGAAGAACTGATTTAAATAAAAGACCCATACACAATATTATTATTGTGTGCATTATAAGATTTAACAGTATTTCAGCATAACACTGGCTGTATTAAAAGTAAAAGTTACATTCTAACAATGTATTTAGAACTTAAATTCTTAAGCAAAACAAATAAATTGCAAAAAAGAAAACTTAACATAATGATATATATATATATATATATATATATATATATATATATATATATATATATATATATATGAAATCTTGTATTTTCACATGGATATAGCTTTCACATGTTGATATAAAAAAATACTTTGCTATTTTCACATTTAGATATGTCTGTGTGTGTATACAAATCTTATTTTTATTCAAGAATCTTCATATATTTTGTAATCTAATTTGAAGCCAATGATTTTGCTTTATGCTCTGATGATATAATTCACACTTGGTTTTCTTGTATGTAGAAAGTAAACAAATTTTGAATGTACTGATGTCTTGAACAGGTCATGCATCTTTTTATGCAAATTACTTGGATTATTTTTTATCAATATATAAACAGCACTTTTTAAATCACATTTACTATGATGGCAAACTTTGTAGAGGTTATGTACTCATTGTGACACAGAACCAAGTACTTCATGATTTAAAATTCTTGATTCTGAGCCATATTTTTTAACTATCAGAGCAGAAAGTTAACACACATAATGCAAAGTATTTTTTGTCTATAGAT